ACACACACACACACACACACACACACACACACAAACACACACACATACATACACACACATTGTTCTTAATTCAATAGGTATAAATTTATATTTATTAAATCATTACAGGGTGCATCTTATTGATTAACACAATAGAGTACCTAAATTAAAATATACAAATTTAATCTCCCTAGAAAGCAAATGCAATTTACCGAATTTCTTCCATTTCATAATATTCATTTATAAAGAGAGAGAGAGAGAGGAAGGGAGGGCTGGGGTGTAGCTCACTGAGCTCACTGGTAGAGCGATTGCCTGCATTTCCAGCAAGGAGGGCACTAATTTTTTTTTTTTTTTTAATAAAAAAAAGCAAGACCAAAGGAAGAGAGAGCTGATTTGAATGCACAGCACGCCAGCTACATCTCACCTGCTGTGCACTGAGGCAAGTGTAGAGGACAGAAGGAAACCACCCAGAGGGACTTTTTTGCAAACACTCCCTCTCCCTCTCTCCAAGGGAACTAAACATTTGCTTTTGTGCAAACCTAAGGGCTAATGAGAGCTAGTAACAACCAACAAACTTGACGCAAAAGCGACGTTCGCCCCACCTAGATATCTTTGATGCTCGCTATGGGACAATGGGTTGCTTGAGTCCACATTGCTAGCACCAAGAGGAAGAAGGAAAACGGCAGAGTAAAGACGCAAAGGGAAAGGTGACCCCCAGACCTATCACTTTTGCATTTTATTGGTCCCCCTGGTGGGCGTGACTGACAACTATCATGTAAGAAGAAACCCTGAAAAACTCAAGAAACAGCAACTCTCGCCCTAAAAGCTCATGAAAGCGCTCTCAGGCCTCAGATGCTAAAGTTTAACCCCAGAACAAAAGCCTGTCCCCACCCCCACCACCCACGGCCACTGTCACCACCCCGGGGCCCGAAAGCCCTGGGCCTCCCGGCTGCGCATGCGCCGCGGCGGGCCGGGCCGGACCGGGCTGGGCTAGCACCACCAGACCCAGCACGCACAGTACCAGCTTGTCCATGGCGCTGCGCTGCGGCGCTCCGCAGGGACTCGCCGCACCGTGGCCGCCGCCCAGTGCAGAGACCCCGGCGCAGCCGCTGCCCACGCTGTCCCTGGCCGGCGGCTGTCCCCGGAGTCCACTCTGGCCGCGCGTCGCCGGGCTTGCCGGGCTGTTTGCAGCTCCTGAGGTTGCCATGGCGACGAGCAATGCTCCGCCTGGACCAGGCCGGGTCCTCCCGCCCCTCGTGCGGAGCTCTTCCAGGCTCTTCCCGGCTCCGGTGACCAATAGCTTGCTGGACAGCGGGCTCTGAGCAGGCTACTACAGAGGATAGGCGAAATCCCGAGCTTTGGGCCCCAGATGCCATTTCTTCACATCAGTTTTCTGTTAGGTCTCAGCTGAAGAATATTTCCAGCGTCATATAGCCACATCTGCTCATTTGGAAATTGCTTGAATGAGAAAAAGATAGCTAGAGAAAAAGATAATAATTCAAATAGAATTTAGGAGGTTTCGATTTTCATTCGCTCAGCTTCCCAAGCCTGGAATCATACTTGGATTTTTCTCATTGTTTCCTTGCCATGTACCTTTACAGTTGCTTCTTCATCTTAGACTTCAATGGAAATTTTTAACCTTGAATTTTAACCTGGAGGTGACAAAGATAATTTCCTCAATACTGTCTCCCCACCAGAAAAATACCTGCAGTGACATGTATGAATTCCAAGCAACTCTGCCTTAAAGGGCTTTAAAAAGGAATTTGAGTAGAAATATTTTCTATCTGCAAACTCTCCTATCTTATCTGGGCCAGCGCTGTCCAATATTACGCATGGTATTTGTGTAGGTTCACTTTTGCTAAAAGCTACAGTTCAAAAAGTAAAACTCAGGTGAAATTCATTTCAATAATATATTTCATCTAACTTAATATATCCAAAATATTATTTCAATGTGTTATCAATATACAAATTATTCATGAAATATTTTACATTCTTTTAATTTTACTTTGTCTCCCCAAATTATGCTGACACACATCTCAGTTCAGGTTAGCCACATTTCAAGTGCTGGATAATCAGATGCAACTGCTTGTTACTATCTTGGAAAGGGCAAGTGTACTAGATTTAAACTCTAGGAAGACCAGCCTCAAATCACATGAGGAGGAAAGAACTGTGTTAATTCATAATGCCTACCAAACACCTCATTAACTCTTAAACAATTGTTCTGATGCTCACCAGGAAAAAAAGAAAAATGTTTTTAAAGCAACATAAACAATCTCAGAAACAGAAAATTTTATATGTCCTCTTAACTATCTGGCTTTGTAGGCAATTTGTGTAAATTTGCCTTAAAATGGCATCCTTGCGATGCAATGCCTTATATGTACACCTAAAGAAGATGCTGACCTGGGGTTCAAAGTAAATGAGTTCCCTTTACCCCTGCTCTGTCAGGGACTGCAAAGTGTTCTGGTCCATCCTCCTTCATTACAATTTTGCCAGGGTTAATATCCTATTATCGCCATAATCATCACCCAAAGACTTTAGAATCCAGCCCCCAAGAAAAGAATTATTATTCTAAAAGAGATGAAAACTCAGCTTGGTGAAAGAAAGTGTCTGCAGGGGAAAAGACTCTCCACAGAGGGTAGATCTGAGAAGGAAGATTGAAAGCTCACATTTTTCTAGGTGATTTTTGTGCATTAACTCGTTTTATCTTAAAACACATTCTAAACTTGGCCATGATCACTATTGCCCCTATTACAGAAGAGACACAGAGAAAGATGAAGCAGCTTGCCCACAGCTACATAAACAGAAGAGTAGAATGATCTGAGAACCCTGGCAATTTGGCTCCTGCCTAACATCTGCAGGCAGGGGGAAAGCCACCTTCCAGGGGCTGACTTCAGAAGGAGTGGAGGGCTACAGCTTGGCTAATACAATCTATAGTTCCCTAATCTGTGCCGCCTTAGGCAAAATTGTGAACTAGACATTTTTGTCCTCGATATTCCCTTTCTGGTAAGTCTTTTGCTGTCAGAGATGTGTATGTCATTGAGGACCCCAAGCTATCGCAGAAGTATAATCTGGATCCCAGACCTTCCCCAGCTATGCCAGTCCATCATGAATACTTAATGCCCCTCTCCCATGGACACTACCTCTATAGGATCCTCTTTTGCCTTCCCAACTAATATTGTAGATTAATTCCTACTGCAAGAAATTTGGGGGCAGAATGAGACAGACAGGTGGCTTGGCCAAAAGCTCTCTTGCACTTCCCTCAACTTTCCTCTTAAACTTGCCTTTCAGGAAATGGAGTCAACTCAGTGATCTGAGCCTGAGGGAGATGGCAGACTCGTGGGGAAGATGCTTAAGGACTTAGGTCTTGCCTGTCCTGGAAGCTCACTGGAAACTTCACCACCATTGAGGACTCTCAATAACCTGCTTCAAGGAAATCATTTCCAACAGAGCACAGTGGCACACACTTGTTATCCCAGCTACTAGGAGGCTGAGGCAGGAGGATGGCAAGTTTGAGTCCAGCCTGGGCAACTTAGCAAGACCCTGTCTCAAATTTTTAAAAAATAAATAAATAAAGGGCTGGGGACATAGAGTCATGATAGAGTACTTGCCTAGCATTTATGAGGCCCTGGGTTCAACTCCTAGTACTGTGTATGCATGTGTGTGTGTGTGTGTGTGTGTGTGCCCGCACGCACACACACACACACACACACACACACACACACACACACACACACACACACAAGTCTTTCCCTAAAAGATTTTAAAGTAAACTTCAATCTAAAGTCCTCACTAAAATAAATTCATACTTGATGCTTCTATTGCCCAAGACTCAAAATGTGCTCAAAAAAAAGTCCCTCTTTAATCTAGGAAGACTAACAGAGTGCACACAGGGTGATTTCTACCTCATCTGTTCACAAAGCATCATAGGCACCAAGACTAATTACATAGAAATGTAAAATTTCAGGTCTGAGAATTGACAATCTAGGTGATGATTTAATTTTATAGAAAAGATCAGCATTTTATGGAAGAGAAAATAAAGTCAGACTCACTGGAGGCCACATAGCTATTTGTTGACTGAAATGGGTCTAGAAAGCAAACCTCTCGGTGCTGTTTTAGTACATTGCAATATTTCACAGTCACCCATTTCCTTCTCAAGGTCTGACTGTCAGCTGGCAAGGCTTTGCATGCTCTGCCAGTTCCCTGGTGTTCCATGAAATTCTTTTTTCTTGTCCATCACTACAGTCATATCTACTAGAAAGAATAAGTCCCCAGTCCCCTCTTGCAGCTATGGTGGTCATGTGACAGTTCTGGCTGGTGAACCATAATTGCAGTCTTGGGCTCCAGGGAATACTCTTGCTTTCCAAATGAAAGAGACCCAGCTATCCCTTTCACACCTTCTTCCACCTGAAATGTGGTCATAATACCTAGAACCTTTGTGGTCAACCATATCTGACCATAAGAGCATAATCATTTGAATTACAGAAATGATAGCCTTGATATCTTTGAATCTCTGAACCAAGAATAACAATTGCCTGTCTCAGGGGAAATCAGTCCCCTGTTTGTCTAAAGTATTGTCCATTGTGTTTCCTGTTACCCGAAACTAAGTAACATAGCAACTGTCAACTATTCTTAGATATTTTGTAGGTTGATTTTATTTTACAAATATAAATAAGAGTTGTAGGTTGCACAGTTAGAGATAAATTTCATCTCTTTCCAACCTCAAAGAAGGAAGTCATCTAATCAGTGAATAAAGTCTCACATTGGTTCTGTTCAAATCCACCCAAGTACAAATGCTGGGTAAGTGACATCTCTTCCATGCCTTGACTGCCACCGCCATCCTGGGTGTCCAGAATCCCCTTCCTCTTTTGGAGTTAGGTGACAAGAGGGCTCAGTGGACAGAGTGTGGAAATGTGTAAGATGAGCTGAGCAAAGCCCCTGGGTGGAGGCGGGTGTCAGCGCTGCTGGAAGAGGAACAAATGTCCATGGTGAGCCATCCTTGGGTTGCTTTTGTCAGGCAGTAGTGAGCAGGGCTGCAGATGTAGTTCCTCTTCTCTGATTCAGGGATGCTCCCTTAGGCTCTGTGGACTGACTGCACAGCACTCACTCCATACAGATGTCCTCTTTCTTCTGTTCATTGTAGTCCTCAAGGCCCATGGGTACCATACTCTGCTCCATCCAGTACTTGGCTGCTCAGCTTGCTCTTCTTGGTCTCTCCCAGCTCTGCTTCCCTGCTGCTTATAGCCAGGAACTCCATGACTGTACTTCCTCACACCTAAACTGCTGCTCCCATGCTGACTTCCAGAGAGGAGAGATGCCAAGGCACTAGAGAGGGCCTTTATCCTCTTCGGCTAACTACCCCTTCTTATGTTTGGAGAGTTTCCTGCCAAGAGGAACCTTCCATCCCTTATAGAAACTACAAGTATCCAGTACCTTCCCAGGCACCTTTACACCTAGGGCCTCATCACATCACTCAGACTCAACCAAATGTACCCACCTTGGACCTGAGTCAGAAGCAGATGACCCCAGAACGTGGATAGTAGACAATATATCCTGGCAGGAGTGGCAGTATAACAGTGATGTTTAGTTTCCTAGGGTAGTTGTGGCAACAGAAACCTGCCCATCTGTGTGTCCAGGAGCAGCCAGAATGGTAGAAATAACCTCAAAAGATCATTTTTGTGGCAGGATGTCTGGCTGTTCTCCTAGCTGCAGGTGTCCTCCTGGCTATTTTCCAAACCCCACTATCCAACTTTCTCCATTCTTCTGAGCTTCCCAGTAGCTTTATTCCTTTAATACTGTGTGTGAGTGTGTGTGTGTGTGTGTGTGTGTGTGTCTGTGTGTATATGTATATGCACATGCCCTTCAATCAGAGATGGTCCATTCAGTTGTTTGCAATTAAGAATCCTGCTTGAGGCAGACCTACATTTGATGCTACCCTATCTTTAAAGCCAGTTTAACAACACAAACACAAGACTGCTATATGTGTAGTGTATTTTATTACAGTTTGGGAATACTAATGAATGTAAGGAATTATGGAAGCAGCAAACCTCAGATTTAGAGGTTTTTAAATTTTAAAAGTTAAGTTCTTCTAAGGGATTTTCCTTGTTGGGGAGAGGGGCTTGGTTTGCTAGTTCCTAATCTTGTTTACCTGTTGCAAAAGTGTACTAATAATCCTTTTAGTCAGGGGTCTGCCAGAGGAATATATATGTTGTATACAAACACATGCACATATGAAAACTGTACACATTATATATATATATATATATAAAGAGACCTATTTCAAGGAATTGGCAAGTTCAGAATCTGTAGAGCAAGGTGGGAAGTTGGACCTTCTAGAAGCTGAAGCTGCCGTTCACCACCAAATCACTTCTTCCTCCAGGAAACCTAAGTCTTGTTTTATGAATTACTCCTTCTCACAACCAGCTCATCCAAAATGAACATAAGAAAGATAGGTTTTGAGGTGCCATGATTTGCAAAATTTTACTGATAAAAATATTTTTATAATTAAAAACTTAAACTTTCCACCAAAAACAAAATGATGGAGAAAGTTAATCACACAGGATGAATGATTTCATTCATCCAAGAAAA